TCGATCTCTGTTTGAGTCCCATCGGACTCAACCATCATCAACTTCGCCCCCTTCTTCTTCCATTCCTGCGGACTCTTCTTCTTCCTCGCATCATTCTGAGAGGGTTGAGCATTTCCTAGTGTAGCCTCTAAGTCTAAGGCTTTTCTGGACAATGTCTCAAACGAATGGTACTCGAGGCGAGCCTCGCTGGCCAGCAAGTTCCTGAGGTTCTCTGGAAGACATCTAACAAACGTAGTCAATAGGAGCTGGTCACTGTAGTTGATGCCTGGAACGACGATGAGGCTCTCTATGGTAGTCGTAAGCTCTCTGATTGACTTAAACTTTCTATGATCTAGTCTATTTATCGCATCAGTGGCTATTTGTGCCTGCTGAGGATTGTGCCAGCGAGCTTCTACCATCTCAAAGAACTGGTCTTACGTAATAGACTGAGCCCAGTGCGCCATACGTCGTCCATACCCGGCCTTCGCAACTATACCATCTAGCCATTTGGCTGCCTTACCTTCGAGGTAAGATGCAGCACTAACCACTTTGTCCTCTGGCAAGGTCCTTTTCGCCTTCACCTAAACCGGAACTGTTCTCAACCATGTGTTGAGTTCTTCGTCCTTCCTCTCGCCTGAGAAGGCAAGAGGCGGTTTCATTGAGGTCTTAGGGTACCATTGACCTTGCGGTTGTCCCTGTTGAGGGATAGGTTGTTGAGGTGGTGTAGCCCCCACCGCTGGACCCGAAGAAGAAGAAGCAACAGTCTGTGCGGCTGCTGCAGACGTGCCACTTGGTTGTGTGCCAGCTTGAACTGGAAAGGGGCCAGACATCGCCGTCAACGGCAATGGCGACTGTGCTGGTGGCCTATATCCTGGCCTTTGCAAAATGTCCAGGATCTGGTCCAAAGTGTTCTGCATGAAGTCCAACCTGCTGTCCACGTGCGCATGCAGCGACAACATGTTGTTCTTCAACACTTTCATTTGGTCAGATAATGCTGACTCATCCAGACCCTCTAGCTCAGCCTTGTCTACCTCTAACGTTTCAAGTCTGGCTGTTCTATTTTTAATCTTTTTTTCTCTATCGGTTGCTTGTTTCAGTTCCCTCTCTTGCCGTTCACGGATCCTTTCGACCTGTTGGAGCTCTCTAAGCTCCCTTTCGCGAGGAGTCAACGGGCTGAACTGCGAGCCCGCCATTTGACTTGTAGACTGTCGAGAACCTAACGAACTGGAAGTTCCCGTGGACCCTGTGGGCATTCCCAACTGGGTCCCATTGGTCCCAGACAAGGCCGCAGAGGATGCTGCTGTACTAGTCATGGCTACTGCACTGGCTGCTGCTGCAGCCTGTTCCCTAGCTGCGGCGTTTGCTGTTTCCCTAGCTGCTGCTAGTGCACGGGCTCTGCGTTCGGCACGAAGCCGTCTTTCGTCTTCCGGTTGTAAGGCCTGGAACACGTGCGGGATCCTACGTGATCTCGAACGTGTCAGTCTCGCATCGTCAACTGCCTCCTCATCGATGTCTGACCCGTTCATGAATTAGGCAAACATTATCTGCACTAGAATCCCCTAGTGGAATCCTACCACAGCATGAGTCTGACCGGCACCTAATTTTCTAAAAATAGTTGTATCCGGCAGGTCCCCTACTTTACCGATCAAATGGCAATCTACAGCATTCATAACAGATTGTCAACAGTCTTGATGTATCTTGATTGGCTCACTTACAGCAGCATGAGATAGAACTGGCTATGGTAGTATACAACAGTCCTACTCTAATCTGTCTGTGAGGTGTTAGCAGTCTGTCCACCAACTTAATCAAGAATACAAAAAGACCATGTTGCAGATGTATGATGAGTGGGTATGGTTGTGTTTCCAGTTGAGCATCAATTAGAACCTACCCTTCCCCTCAATCCAACATACCGGTAAGCATCATTGAGCAGCGGTGTCTTCGTGTGTGTGTCGGCCCACCCCTGTGCCCAAGTCGTTGCGAGCAAGCCAGCCAGTCCACTCTTATTTACCCTCGTACGGAACGAGCCTTACACCCGGTTGATCTGGCTGATCAGGAGGAATTTAAAGAGCGCCCCCATCTCTTCAGGAATTATTTAACGTCGCAGTCAGGACGACGATCACAGCCAGATTCAATCCGAGTCCCCAACCAGAAATGTTTATAGACGGTCTGGTAAGCGTCTCATAAAAGGCTGACACACCCGGCAGGACTTCTATTCAGCGCAGCAAGTGCCAAAATGGACAGCAGCCATCGCATGCGTGACTTACTCCCATTGGGTTGGCATGGTGACCGTGACCCAGTGCTTCGACCAGGGCCCTTCAGAGGCACCGCCCTTTCTCCTTCAAGATGCTTCCGGGAAGATTGTCGTCTCTCAAGGTAGCGCGCTAACTACACCTCACCAAAAGAGAGGATTCTCAAGTTGGACTCACTTYCTCACGGTAAGAAGAGATTGAGAGAGTAGATAAGGTAAGGGAACAACGTACCTGGAGATAGCTGCCCCCAACCACAGATTTCTCACCAATTGAGCTGAGTGTGCATTTGATGACCGGTCTTGGCCTCGGTACCACCCACAACGCAATGCAGTGCCACCTCAGCCGAATGCCACATCAGCATGCTCTCATCACCAATCATACATTCCGCATGTCACCACGGCTTAATGCCGTCTTAGCCTTCCGGCGCACACCTCTCTACCCAGGCTGTGCGCCTAATCATGGCCTGACGTCACTAGAACCAACTGCGAAGAAGCATCGTCAACGCACCAAGTCTGTATAACGCCAGCGCACCAAGGTAAGTGGCCAGCTCCCATACCAAATTGCAAGGAACATGAATGTGAACGAAGCACAGAAATCCAGATTTCAAAATCACACTGAAGTCCAAGTAGTCAAAGCAAGAGCAGATAGCACAATGGAACCGAGTAACCATCCATTTGAGAATGATACAGAAGAATCGTGAGTCAATGTCCAAGCCCAATCGGGCAACACCAACAGCATAACCCAATGTAGCTCTCTCTTGAATGGCGCCAGGCGCCCTACCTACTCTACAGCCTATCTCTACGACTACAGCTATGAAGCAACCAGACAACTTGACAACCAGCGAGTGATGATGTCAACTCCAATGCCGACCTCCTCTCCACCCTGGTACGTCTCTTCCTTCACCCACACTCTCCCTTGTTATCCCACACAGCGCYCTTCACCTTCAAAGAACCACCTTTGCCCTCACCTCCCCTGCGCCCTTAAGCAGCCCGGCTATGGCCGCCAGCGCCCTGTGCACAGGCAGCGCCCKACCGCCTAGCGCCTGCCTGTCTGRCACCTCATCCTAGCGCAGCGCAGCAGCTCGCATTTGCGCASCRTGCCGRCATTGCCCRCAATGGCCAAGATCCCKGCCTACTCGCCCTGCTTGCCTATATGCCAGTGTTGCGTGTGGGCGGCCTCCCTTTAGCCTGCGACTGGGCCCCAGTGCCTGAACCCAGGCCCGATGCAGTTGGGGCCCGGGTGATGCAGTTGCGCCTCTTTCRTCAAGGCCTGCRGCCWGATTCAGATAGTGGGCCGATTTCCCTTTGGCATTTTCGGCCTCTATACCCAGCATGCATTGTCGGCCTCACGTTCAAGTGCCCAGGGCCTAACTAAGAGGCCCTGGGAGCTCCACATTTGCAGAGATTTGAGACTCGGTGCACTCCAACCAACTGGCATGCTGCAACTGTATGAACCCCACTTCGTGAAATGTTTGTACAGAGGGCTCTTGTTGATTTGCTGGCCCGCCTTCACTTAGGGCGGGCACTAGGCTTGCTGGGGCCTTAGCCCAGAACATGTTACATCATGGCAAGGCCCCTTCTTGAGGGCTCAATCCTCACAAGATCGACAGATATACAAAAAAAAAGAAAAAAAAAGGGGTGATCAACTTCTTTTATATTTTTTTCCTTTTTTTTGTTGATTAGGACCGGCAAGGACATTGCAGTTTGGTGGTTTGCCTGTCCACCCAGCCCCCTGTCTGTTTTCTCGCCTTGGTAAGTGCCACGTCAGTTGCAGGACACATCAGTAGCGTCAGCAGTGCCATGACAAACGGTGACACGTCAGCAGTACCACGTCAGTAGCAGTGCCACGACAACAGTGCCATGTCAGCAGCAGGGCCATGTCAGCAGTGCTGCGGCATCAACACCGTACAGCTAACTGCAGCTTATGCTCCGACGCAGCAACCGCATCGCAGCACGAGAAGGGCAGGCAGCCGTAGCAGAACAGCAGCTACCTCTGCCCCACCCCTCTGAAATGGACACCCAGGGCAACCCCACGGTGGACAATGCCGCATCCGGCAGTCCACGTGAGGTGTGCAGCTCGAACCCCTCGGCCCCACAGGCCCAGCAGGAGGGTTCCTCTGCGACTTCTGTGGATGCTGCACCAGTCCGGCAGCAAGGAGAGACCATGACGGCCTTCCTGGCCCGCCTGGGCACCTATATGCAGCAAGTCCAAGAGGAGCAGCAACGCGAGGCGGCAGCCGAAGCAGCGCGCCGTAATGCCATTGCACGAGCAGAAGAGCAACGACGCCGGCAGCAAGCTGACGCAGCTGCCAACCACAACAGGGCTCGACGAGATGCCGCGTCTGTCCTCATGCAGCAGGAAGCCTCTCATACCGCCGCACTCCAAGCATGGTATGTTGATCCGGCGGAAACGACGGAACCAACTACAGAGGACCAGACCAAGTCAGCTCTCGCCAGCATGATGCACCAAGTCATCCTCACTTGTAACTGGCAACAAGTGGAGCTGGCTCGGCAGGCACATACCATTATTGAGTATGAGGAGACTCTCAAGAGCCTCCACGCCCGCCTTGACATGCTCGAGAAGGATGACGTGCCGCACAGGCACTATCGATCCGCGAGCTGGAAGGACGACTGGATCACCTAGTCGCGCTTGTTGACAATTTGAACAGTTTTTGACACCCGACGACCATCGACCAGCAAATAGCTGCCCTACAAGCGGATCTGCGTCAACTGCAGCAGCAACCAACTCGGACCTGCAACAACGTGACGCCGAAACAATTCAAGATGCCGAAGTTCAGCATCAGCAGATTTGATGACTACCACAAGGCGGACCCCATCAGTTGGTGGCAAGGGTTCACCAATGAGCTCTCCATCCACTTGGTCCGCCTGAGTCGAAGATCTCAGCGCTTTACCTCTGCAGCACCGGTGCCAGCCCAGTGTGGCTCAACCACCTGGCTCAAACTGAGGGCGTCGAAGTCTGTAAGCTTCACACCAAGATCACTTGGGAGGCCATGGCTGAGAAGTGGCGGAAACGCTTCATCGTCGACGACGCTCAGGGCAAAGGCGTGAACCGGATCTTCAGCATGCATCAAGGAAGCCAGCCAACACGCGAATGGCTAACCGAGTGGCAGAAATCGTGATGATTCCGGATTTGGACATCCCATTCGTATATCTTTGTCCCGAATTCTTCCAGCGGTCAGTTGACGCGTTGAGCACGACCATTGGGGAGCGCAGCCTATACACGGACCTTGACCAAATCGTGGAGAAGGCGTGCGAAGTCATCCAAATCAATTGGTGGGCAGCCAACGAGCGGCGAAGCCAACCGAATTTTGTGGAAAAGGGAAAAGGCCCGCAGCCGCAGCAAGTCGCTGCTGTCCAAGGAAATGGACAAGAGAACGACCAGGCGATGGCTCACGAGTCTAGTGAAGGAAACGGAGTCAATGCCCTTCCGCCACGACGCAACGACAACAACAAGAAGAAGAAGGCGAAATCTGTGTCAACAACGGAAGCCGGACAGCTGAATGAGCCATGGAAGAAGTTCAGCCTCACGGAGGAGCAATACAAACTCCGCCAGAGGTGGAACTGTTGCTATTGGTGCAACAACACCAAGCATACGACGTCGCAATGCCCTGACACGGCTAAGCTCGGGAAACTGAGCTTCACGGGAAGTGAGGCGACTCCACTTCCTACTCCGCCGGACACGGTTGCCTTGCCAGCAACCTCCTCTATGTCCGGGGAACATGCATATGTCGCCAGTCTTCGCGAAGATTATGAAGACTATGCTGTCCAGCTGGTCCCGCCATTGGACCAACCTCTCCACGTGCAAGACTCATTTGCGTGTGCGACTTCATCATCATCGCCAAGTGAACCAGCATCCTCGCCAACATCACTCAGGGACTCGTCAGTGTGGTCTAGACTTGAGGAACTCGACCCATTGACACTGGAGGACTTCCAATGGTTGCCTCTTCCCCCATCTGGTTCCTTGCCGAAGTCGCATTGCAACGCCCTAATGGAGGAGCTACGCAACTACTTGCACGCTGTAGTACCAGCTCCGTTGATGGAAGACGGAGTAGCGGTTGTTGACCTTCGTGAGTACATTGCGAAGATTGACCGCGAGTACGCCACGCAATGGCACGACGACACCAACGCACCGTTACTCTACATCCGCATTCAGATCGGGAAGGTGACCTACAGCACCTTGATTTATTGTGGAGCTACTCGCAACTACATCAGCCAGGATTTCATGACCCGCGCCGACCTTGGGCCGCGCGTTCGAAGGAAATCGCAGCCCACGCAAGTCACGTTGGCCGACGGTCGTACGCACAAGTCCATTGACCAGTGCATTGACTCAGTCCCCGTGTACTTCGCCCCGCTTGCACGCGAGGCCGTGTCCTTTGACATATTGGACACAAGTTCGACATGATCTTGGGCATGTCATGCGTGCGCAGCGAGGACCACCCGGTGAACTTCTACCGCCGCACCGTTCACGTTCGTGACCGGAACGGGGTACTTGTGCCATGTATGGTCCCCCCACCTCATCCTTCGATCGGTTGTCACGTGGTCTCCGCGGCAAGCATTCACAACTCCATCGCACGGAACGACGTGGAGGAAATGGGCATTTGTTTCTTGCACGCCCTCCCTTGTCCCCACGAGCTAGCGGCTGAACAGCCACCGGATCCACGCAATGTACAACTTCTTGACTCTTATGGCGACGCCTTTGAAGCCCCCACCGGAATCGTACCAAATCGGCCAATTCGTCACGAGATCATCCTCGAAGACGGGGCCGTACCTCCGCGCGGATGTGTTTACCGCATGAGCGAGGAGGAACTCGAAGTGCTTCGAACGCAACTCGATGACCTCATTGATAAGGGCTGGATTCGCCCTAGCTGCTCGCCCTACGGTGCACCTGTTCTCTTCGTTCGGAAGAAGAACAAGGAGCTGCGCTTATGCATTGACTATCGCAAGCTTAATGCTCAAACCATTAAGAATGTCGGCCCACTTCCACGCATCGACGATCTTCTCGAACGTTTGGGCGGAGCCAAGTATTTCTCCAAGTTGGACCTCAAGGCCGGGTGCCACCAGCTCGAGATCCATCCAAGAGATAGGTACAAAACCTCGTTCAAGACACGGTACGGGCACTTCGAGTGGGTCGTAATGCCATTCGGCCTCACGAATGCCCCGACCACCTTCCAAGCGGCAATGACAACGGAGTTTCGCGACATGTTGGACCGGTTCGTGCTCATCTACCTCGATGACATCCTGGAGTATAGCCGAACTTTGGACGAGCACATCGTGCATCTGCATGCTGTTTTGGACAGGCTACGTACGGCCAAGTACAAGGCCAACGGAGCCAAGTGCGAATGCGCACAACAAGAGCTTGAGCACTTGGGCCACTTTGTGACACCACAAGGCATCCGTCCGCTTGCGGACAAGATCAAGGCCATCCAAGATTGGCCGGAACCGACCAACACCACGGAGGTTCGCTCTTTTATGGGATTGGTCGGGCACTACCAACGCTTCATCGAAGGATACGCACGGATCGCCGCACCTTTGTCCAGATTGCAGTCTCCACAGGTGCCCTTCTAGTTCACCGACAAAGTCCGCAATTCATTCCACAAATTGAAGACGGCGTTGCTCCTTGCTCCCGTCTTGAGTATCTACAATCCCACCTTGCCTACGAGAGTGACTACGGACGCGTTCGGCTACGAGATGGGTGCAGTTTTGGAACAACACGACGGAGTAGATTGGCATCCGGTTGAGTACTTCAGCCAAAAGGTGCCTCCCATCAACTCGATTGATGATGCGCGGAAGGAGTTGCTCGCGTTCGTCACGGTAGATTGGCCGGAACCGACCAACACCACGGAGGTTCGCTCTTTTATGGGATTGGTCGGGTACTACCAACGCTTCATCGGAGGATACGCACGGATCGCCGCACCTTTATCCAGATTGCAGTCTCCACAGGTGCCCTTCTAGTTCACCGACGAAGTTCGCAGTTCATTCCACAAATTGAAGACGGCGTTGCTCCTCGCTCCCGTCTTGAGTATCTACGATCCCACCTTGCCTACGAGAGTGACTACGGGATGGGTGCAGTTTTGGAACAACACGACGGAGTAGATTGGCATCCGGTTGAGTACTTCATCCAAAAGGTGCCTCCCATCAACTCGGTTGATGATGCGCGGAAGGAGTTGCTCGCGTTCGTCACGGTATTCAAGCGTTGGCGACATTTCCTCCTCGGGTGTCGTAGGTTCACTTGGGTGACGGATAATAACCCATTGACCTACTACAAGACGCAAGACACGGTGAGCAGCACAATTGCTCGGTGGATGTACTTCATCGATCAGTTCGACTTCACACCGAAACATATCCCGGGCCTCTCCAACCGAGCCGCGGATGCTCTCTTGCGAAGATCAGATCTTTGCGCAGTGACTCACCACGCGTTCAGTTTCTACGAAGCCCTTCATCAGCATTGTGTGCGAGCATACAAGTCCGATCCGGAATACGCCACGCTCTACGAGCAACTATCCTCGGATCACCCACCAGCCAGCCACTATCGCGTTGTCGATGGCTACTTGCTTCTTCACTCACGCGGCAAATACTTACTATGCGTCCCACATGACCGTCGCCTACGGACTCGCCTCCTCGGAGAATACCAGGACTCGAGACTCGCTGGCCACCTCGGCATCAACCGTACGATCGCAAGACTTCGACAACAATTCCGGTGGCCCGACCTCATTACCGACATCACCCGGTATTGCGACTCTTGCGAAGTTTGCAGACGAAGCAAACCTCGCAATTGCAACCCATGCGGTGAGTTACGCCCGTTGCCTATTCCACGGGAACCCGGCCTCTCCATTGCCATGGACCTCACTAGCCTGTTCCCCCGGGCCCGCTTCGGGCACGACGGCATTCTCACGGTCGTTGACCGTTTGAGCAAGTACGCACAATTTCTTCCTTGCAAGTACTACGCCACGGCTCCGGAACTTGCACGCCTCTTACATACCGGCTGGATTTGCGGCCACTGCGTTCCGGAAGGCATCGTCAGCGACCGCGACACTCGTTTCATGTCGGCATTTTGGACCTCTCTCATGAAAGAGTCCGGCACCGAGATGAAACCAAGTTCGGCTCGACATCCACAAACGGACGGGCAGACGGAGCGGGCACATCAAACCGCTCAAGTAATGCTTCACACACTCATCCATACGGATCAAAAGGATTGGGTGGACCGCCTCCCCGACATCGAATTCGCCTACAACACTTCGGTGCACCCAGCGATCAGCGTGACTCCGTTCGAGTTACACCACGGTGGCCGGAAAGGCCGCATCTTCACTGATCTTCCTTTTCCAAGGACTGCCGACATGGACGCCGCTTGCTCGCCCGCCTCCGTTCGGAAGTATAGGGACTTGCTGGCTAAAGCCCGCGCCAACATGCAAAAGGCTCAAGTCCGCATGCAACAACAAGCTAACAGGCGTCGCGTACCATGCCCCATCCGCGTCGGCGACCTTGTTTGGGTCTCCACGGAAGAGTTTGCACTCGAGCAGGATGTATCCCGCAAGCTACTTCCAAAGTTGTTTGGACCATGGCCCGTCACATCAGCCGCGGGTGATGAGCCCGATGGCCCCTCATTTGTGATCAAAATTCCGCCGCATCTCACGGAGCACCCGGTTTTCCACGCCTCCAAGCTGGCCACATATGCACCAGCCAAGAGCGACGACTTCCCGGGACGACGATCACATGACCCTCTTTCCATGGATGGTCATCAGGAAGTCGACCGCGTCATCACGCATTGCAAGCACGGCAACAAGCCTATGCAGTACAAAGTCACATTCAAGTGGTGCGACCCCAACAACACGCAATGGATTTCCCGGGCAACTTTGCGAGCCTCCACTCCTAACATCTATGCTCATTATGAGAAGGAACGGCTAGCGACAAAAGTTGCACAGCCTCCCACCCGGACTTCAGTCCCTCCCTCCAACAGACAGCTTCGCCCTCGCAGGTAAGCTCGGTCTTTCAAGGAGGGGGGAGTGTAGCATACTTCGTACCACACGGGCCCAGTAGAGCCCGACCTGGTAGACTAAGGGTCCGTAGGAGTAGAGCCTGTGTCGTGTCAGACTGACAGCCTGAAAACGAGGGCCTACAGGCCCTGGGTCGGTTCAGCCTGACAACCTAAAAACAAGGGCCTATAGGCCCTCAGTCTTTACCCAGAAGCTACCTGAAAACTACCCGAAAGCTTCCTCGGGGGCTAGCACCAGGGTTGTCACCCGGGGACCCGCGGGGGCAAAGCCGGGGTTGGGATTTCACCCCCGGACCCCCTCCCGCGGGGGCGCCGACCCTCGGACCCCGCAATTGACCCCCGCACCCGCCCGACCCTCGACACCCCCGCGGGACCTCGGCCCCTGCCCCCGGCACCTTGGCCCCGACCCCGGACCCCCGCCGACCCGGGCCCCGGTACCCGGTACCCGGTACCCGGGCCCCGCACCCCCGACACCCTGGGTCTAGCACGTTTGGGCATTGGCAAGAGCAGCCTCCTGGACGGGCCAGCACTATATAAGACTGGCCCGCCCTACAGGCAGGTAGGTAGTTCATAGGGACTGGCCAGGCACTTCACGTGCAGTTCAGGAGGCAGGAGGTAGTCTTCAGGACTCGGCAGCAGCACTCTGGAGGAGGGGTAGCGATAGCAGTAGTCTTCAGCGCTGGGCGCTAGTTGAGAGAGAGAGATGGTTGGCGGAGGCCAAGGAGACTCACCTGAGGCGCCATAGCTCCAGCTTCGTCTTCGATGTACCTGCAGCAAGACGCCACCTTTACAGGTCAGTATCGGAGAGAGAGAGAGAGAGAGAGAGTTCTTCTTTCCTCCTCTAAGTCCAGTATCTCTTCCTCACCCTCTCCCCCCCCTGACTTCTCGGTATCTACCGGCTACGAGAGAGAGAGAGAGAGAGAGAGAGAGAGAGAGAGAGAGAGAGAGAGAGAGAGAGAGAGAGAGAGAGAG